TCTGATTCGTGCCATTTTTTAATATGTTGTTCCCCTGAATGGATTGATTATGAAAATGTATGTTTTATGTTTGTGACATGTATATTTTAGAAGTTATAAATATTGTGTAAAAACTGTATTCCTCTGCCGGTGATAATGAGATTACCCATTGTGTTCAATAATCATATCACAGGCAGAGGGGATGATTTTGTGTAGGAGTGTAAGCTGATTGTAGGCTTTTCCTGTTCGTCTGCCAGCAGCTATTCGTGTGTCTCCAGTTCGGGAGTTTCCAGTATTCCCTTGGTATGCAGTTCGGGAGTTGGTGAATTCGTGGGTTTGCAGTTCAGGAGATTGGTGCTTACAGTAGCTGTCTGTGCAGCTGAAAAAGGGGAATATCGCCTAAATGGTTTTTAACCTCTTTTGGGCAAAACGATGGCAAAACGGTCCGTCACAGTTATGTTTTTGCAAGTATTTATCCAACTGCAGTTTAAACATCTGTATAGACTCTGACAAAACCACCTCTTCAGGCAAAGAATTCCATATCCTTATTGCTCTTACTGTAAAAAAAACTTTTCTTCGCCATAGATGAAATCTCCTTTCTTCAAACGTAAATGTGTGACCTCTTGTCCTATGTATAGCCCTGTTTATGAATAGATTTCCAGATAATGGTTTGTACTGGCCCCAAATATATTTGTATAATGTTATCATATCCCCTCTCAGGTGCTGTTTTTCCAGACTAAAGAGATTTAAATTTTTTAACCTTTCTTCATAACTAAAATGCTCCATTCCTTTTATCAATTTTGTAGTTTGTCTCTGCACTTTTTCTAGTGCCATGATATCTTTCTTTAGAACAGGTGCCCAAAATTGCACAGCATATTCAAGGTGTGGTCTTACCAGCTATTTATAAAGAGGCAAAATTATATTTTCATCTCGAGAATTTATGGCCCTATTTATACATGACAAAACCTTACTGGCCTTAGCAACTGCAGATTGACATTGCATATTGCTGCCTAATTTGTGTGTGGTTATCCCTAGTTCACTACCATTTAGGGTGTAAATTGCTTGTGCATTCTTAACCCCGAAGTGCATAACTTTGCATTTCTCTACATTAAATTTCATCTGCAATTTTAGTGCCCAGTACCCCAATCTATCCAAATCCCTCTGCAGCAAGGCAATATCCTGCTCACATTTTATTACTTTACAAAGTTTTGTGTCATCTACAAACACTGATACATGGCTTTCAATGCCCATTTCAAGATCATTTATAAATATGTTAAATAGAAGCGGTCCCAAAACAAAACCCTGAGGGACACCACTTACCATTTTTGTCCAGCTTGAAAATTTACTATTAATGACAACTCGTTGTACTCTATCCTTAAGCCAATGTTCTACCCAAGAACAAGAATATTCATCTAGACCAATTTCTTTTAGTTTGAAGGAACCGTATCAAATGCCTTGGCAAAATCCAAGTCGATCACATCCACTGCAACACCCTCTGGGGCTCTCTGCAGTACAAGGCTAAATAGGGCCCTGGGAGTGCAGCCAACACCCCCTCCCCTTTCCCCCCCTTGTTTCATATATATATATATTTGGGAGTCTAGCCAACTCCCTGGTTTTGCACCCCTCCCTGTCACAGGTGCCTCATCCCAGGGCCCTATTTAGCCCTGCCAAAGATGGGGTACATTGACGTTGTGGCAGGCTTATGCAATGTATGATCATATAATGTAACTAAACCCCCATTATTTTTGCCTAGATTAGGTGTTTTTAAAAAAAACTAATAAAATCTTTCAACATTGAAGTTGCTGTTTAGTGGATAGGTGAGTGCGCTGGATCTTGTGTATTATACACATAAGTATATACGTATATATCATTATATGTATACCTATATATAAATAAAAATAATTTTAAAAAATTACATATATATATATATACACACACGTATATATAAAATAATTTTACATATATATTCATATAATAATTTAACATAATTAGGTCCTTTTATTACTTACAATTTGGAGGACCTGCCTGACAACCCAGGCCAAAAGTATAGGGAATTTAATTTGCTAGCATTATATTTAACCCTATACCTTTCCAAGACACCATAAAACCTGTACATGGGGGGCACTGTTTTACTCTGGAGACATCGCTGAACATAAATATTTGTGTTTCAAAACCGTAAAATGTATTACAACAATGATATCGTCAGTGAAAGTGAAGTTTTTTGCATTTTTCACACATAAACGGCACTTACACTGACGATATTATTGCTGTAATACTTTTTACTTTTTTGAAACACAGATATTTGTGTTCAGCAAAGTCTCCTGAGTTTAACAGTACCCCTCATGCACAGGTTTTATGGTGTTTTCAAAAGTTACAGAGTCAAATATAAGGCTTGCGTTTCAGTTTTTTCACATTGAAATTTGCCAGATTGGTTATGTTGCCTTTGAGACCGCAATATTCGCCCTGTAATGTAAAGTTTAAAGGGGCTCCATAGCAAACTAACTAAAAGTTGACCTCTCCAAGTCAAACAGCGGCACCACCTGCGACAGACCTAGGCTTCTGTTTTCAAGCATTCCAACAAGTGGTTGTAGGGGGCAGAGCGATCCTGCACTGGAGAGGAGACTTTGGGTTAAACCCATTTGTGAACTCTTTAACCTCTAAAGGAAAGCCAGAGTCATAGACCTCCTGGCACCAAACAAAACTTCATTTAGAAAACAGTTGTTATGGTGCCCAGAGTGTTCCTAACAAATCTGCAAAATAAAATTGCTGATTAAAGGGGAGCTCTCTTTTTTTTTTTATTCTTTATTTTTGCAAATTATTGCTGAGATACAACATGGCATGAGAGCCATACAGGAACGGGCATGATACAATGGCAAAGACATTACGATCTCATAGCGTGAATCCACTCCTTGTATGTTTTTGTGGCTAGTGTTCCCTCCCTTGTCAATGCCCGTTTAAGTGTTCTATATCTAAAAGGTTGCTGGTATGGGTCTGCAAGTGCAGACTTCATGTGGGTAAAGTTGTTGTCTCACGCCCACCCCCTCTGAGTACAAATGGAGTAATTCCTGCAACAGTCCAGGATGGGCGAGCCGTCTGTAGAGTCTTTTCTGCCGGTATGTCTAGGGACTGGAGAAAAGCTAGTGCTTCAGAAAGGTGTGACATTAGATGTGTCTTGTCTGCCTTATCAGCCAGGATTTGGCACTGACCCCATTTGTAGGGGATAGAGTGCTCCTGCAGACAGTAGCTCGGTAACTTGCTTGAGGGATCTTTGCCATACCAGGGTATGTCTAGAAAAATCCCGGAAAAATACCAGCTGTGCCCCCTCAAACGACACAGTGGGAGAGCCTCTCTCGGCCCCCATGATTACCCCATGGTCGGAGTCCTGAGTTAATTTCAGCAGAACATCCCTGGGTACATGTTGGAAGCCTTGGTAATTAGGAAACAGGAGTCTACCACTAGTAGTTTGGCCTGTTTAGGCATTAGCAGTGTGGCAATAAGCCTCCGACAGTAGTGGGAGAGTTCGGTTCCTGCAATTGTTTCTGATACTCCCCAGAATCTTAAATTTTTTTCTGTGGCCCTGTCCTCCATGGTGGCTATCTGCACCTGTTGGTCTGTGCATTGCTTCTGTAGCGCTCCTATAGCAGCATCAGTGGCTGATTGTGCTAGCTTGGTGCCCTCCATGCCTTCCTCCACTTTGTCAGCTAGCTTAAAATAGATACTGCCTCGCAGACCGGTGCCATTTCCGCTTTGAACATGATCTTGATTTCTTTCATTAGTGCCCTGATATCTGCTTTAGTAGATGGAGCACAGTCCTCCAACTCTGAAGTTGTCTGTGGTGCTGAGCGTGGTCGGGATGGAGGGAAGATGTCATCATCAGACGACATTGAGGTGTAGGCCTCGGCAGGTGCCATCTTGGCTGATTAAGGCCGCGAGGTCGTGCGTAGGGAGACCCCTATATCTTGGGATCCTGAGCCCGGGTTCACTCATTGCTTCCTGTTCTTTTTCCCCATATCGCTGGGAATCTAGGTTGGTGCACTCTGAGCGATATAGCGGTGCCGATGACGGTTATTAGCCTGGAATATTGGGGTAAGCTCGCAGAGATGTCCATAATTACTTATTCACTTTTTTTTTCGCAGAAAAGCAAAATAGCATTGAATGTTAAAATCCAAGCCACTGTATTTAAATCTATCCTGAAATTTGGCACCTCCATCTTGGCTCCCTGTATATCATTGCTATAAATGTAAAAAAAAAAGTTTAACACAAGTTATAAGTGATTTCTAATGGTGCAATTTCCAGGGCAGTAACAGTTATCATTTAAGAAAATGATTTGTGGTTAAAATGTTATGCAAGAGCTCTCTTAGTGGGCATCATATTAAATACACAGTATATGTATTTAATATATACTATTTTGACATGAAATCAGCTGAAAAAGTCTTGTGAATTAGATGGGCTGTCAGAGAAAATTGTAAAAGGATTCATAATAAATGTGTAATTTTACGCTATGGAAGTCCCACAGCAGGCAGACATTATGAACTATGAATGATTATCTTTGGTTTATATTTGGATAGTTACAGCTATTTGTCTTTGAATACTTATGGCAGTGTTCCTATTCCGAAAAAAAACCCATTTAAAACAATTAGGGTATAACTAACTGATCAATCTGAAATAAAACATAAAATGAAAATATAAAAAACAAATAGAATAATTTTCTGTGTAAGATTTTACATGTTTATGTAGAAACTGTATCAATGGATATCCATTAAGTAAAGGATAAAACGCCCAGGCCATTTGCTGTGCCCATTTACCTTATAAGGTTGCAGTGATGTCATTAAGCATCTTACATCATAAACAGCTGAGGGCAGGTAACAAAGGCTTGCACCTTCTGAAGCCAGTCAGTGTATTGCTAGGATTACATCGTAAACAGGTACTCGGCAGATCTTATATCTATTATCAGAACAAACTGAAATTTTAAGGTTAGTACTGGACAATGCTAATATTTTAATGTCTGTGTTTGATTTCCTAGCATGAAGTCTGCCAAGCAGTATTACTGCCGCATGGACCTAAACAGGATCTGGAGGAGGATGGTAATGTATAAAAGGATGGAGCGATGATAAATAAGTTAAATAATAGATCAATTTAATACAGATCCAGGGACAGATTTGCAGCCGATCGCCTCATTATGGGGTCAGGAAGGAATTTTTTGCTTGGACATATTGAATATTACTAATGGTATGTACAAGTTTTTTCGCCTTCCTCTGGATCACTTATTCACTAAACTTTGAATTGTAGCAAATTAAAATCTGACAGGGTTGTTCACTAAACATCACATTTTATCTGGAAGTCTTTTGTATTCTTGAAACTCCTCACAGTACAATGTTTATAAAATGTAAAAATGTTTAAAATATATGTAAGCTAAATACAAATTTAATGAGGATAAATTCATTAAATAAAATTAGAAAACTTTATTAGTTACTTTTTAATTACTATGGTTTACAATAATACAAAGACAAAGGACCTCTTACAAATATAAATCCTTAAAAATACATTTAAAACAATAATAATAATAATTTGCAATTTTTGTAGCGCTTTTCTCCCTGTGAGACTCAAAGCACTTTACAAATATATAAAGCAGACATAAAAGCTAAGCGTTTCTGACAGTCAGAAGAGCTGACTGAATGCCTATCAAAAGTCGCAGGCCAATGTTAAAATATGTTTGCCATTTAATTGGAGGCCAATGCAGGGAGTGGAGAACAGGTGTTATGTTACATGATCGACTTTGGTTGGTCAGTAGTCTGGCTGCTGCATTTTGTACTGTCTGTAGGTGATGGAGTTCTTTTTCTGGGAGGCCCAAGTAGAGTACATTACAGTAATCTTGACAAGAGGACGCAAATACATGGATTAATGGTGGTGCACAAGGCGTTAAAAACTCCTGTCACTTACCGGATTCCAGCGCCGATGCCCCTCCGCAACCAAAAGTCACCTGATGATCGGAAGTTCCTCTAGTGGTTGTCTGGTAGATCGCTACTGGAGGTGGGTTTAACCCTGGCAGGTACGTATTGCAGTTTTTGCAGGGTTAAGGGATCTTGGACACTGTACCCAGACCACTTCAATGAGCTGAAGTGGTATGGGTACCTACAGTGTCCCTTTAAGGTAGTTGTTATGGTGAGTATAGTCAGTGCCTGCTGGCTTTTTGTGTAAAGCCTGTCTTTTTAGAGAAAAGGCAGTGTTTACATTACATCTCTAGTGGCCACTCCTCAGAGGTTCAGCTTCTCCATGCTCTGCGCTGCACTCGAGAGTTCACATAGAAAGTTCAATCGTTAACTTCCATATGTGCCTAGGGTTTCTCCACTGCTGTTGCAGATAGTGTGCAGAACTCTGTTGGAGTGGCAGGTGAACTGCAATTCTCTGCTGTTGCGGTTGATGAAGTGCCAATCTCTGGCGTCTTGGCCAATGGAACATGGCCCTCCGCAGATGCAGCAGTGTAGTGCCGCTCTCTGCCATCGTGGCAGATGGAGAAGGGTCAGGCCCCTGTTGTTCTGCATCTTGGAAAAGTGTGTGGGTAGAGGAGCAGGATCCTGTTGGTGCATGTCACCGTGAAGTAGTCTGCCAGATATTTGAATTAGTCCTCGTCGGATTTGCTCTTGAGGCAGCATCGAGGCAGTCACCAAGTGCCTCTCCAATTTGGCCCAAAATTCCTGAAATATTGCCAGTGAGGCTGTGTGCATCAACAAAGGTCTGTGTCAGGACCTGTGCCACCGGTGAAGACTTTTCCGCCATCTTGAGAAGCTTAGGCATTCACAGGTTAATGGCAACAGCTGTCTGCTATTGAATGGGTAGCAGTGTAGGTCAGTCCAGCTGGAACGGGAATAACACCCATCACTCTTCTGCCTTTCTCCAGCACAGCAGCCTGTAGGCCTCGGCAAGTCTCAACAGGCTCCCGAGTTAGGTATCGGTGGGTTAATCACAGCCCCACTTCAGTTTGCGTGGAATCGCCCAGATTTTATTGCAGTGGCTATAAATATCCCCCAAAAATCAGTAAGCAAAGTGGGAGCTCGCCCAGTACACATCTGATCAGCACGTGTCTCAGGCTCCGCTGACCCTAGTTATTTTAACACTGTAGGATCAGGAATACACGTTTGTGTTTCTGACCCTATAGTGTTCCTTTAATAAACAGCCATATATAATTGACACTAAAATATATACTCCTCATTCCTCTGTAAGAATGTATTCATAAATATAATGCCAAGACCCAATTGCAGGGCAATTTCAAAAAAAAAAGAAAAAAAAAGAATATGGAAAAGATATCTGAGTGGGAAAAAAGGAAAAGAAAAGAATGAAAGAAAAACAAAAATTAACAAAAAAATTAAAATATGAGAATAACAAAAAAAAAAAGAAAAAATATAATTAAAAAAATGTAAAAATACAACAAAAAAGTAAATATATATATATACTGATATGGAAAAGATAGCTAAATTAAAAAAGAAAAAAGAATAAAAGAAAGAAAACTTAAAAAAAGAACAAGAATAAAAATGAGAAAATAAATAAAAAAAACTAATTGAATAAAACTGAAAATATAAATAAAAAAAGAAAGAAAAAATATAAAACAAATATAAGAATAACAAAAGTAGAAATTGAAAATGATTTATTGAATATCTAAAAGAGCAATAAATTATTGAAAAATATATTAATGAATACATCTCCGAGGAATAATTGATTTAAAAAAAAAAAAGAAGTCTGAAGTCAATGTCTATATTTAATTCCGTGGCTGAAGGTTTTTTTTGTTTGTTTGTTTTTTTTTTAAAGGAACACTAAAACACTTGGATTCAAGCCTGTATTCCTAAATTGTTAGTGTTCCTGACCCTAGTTCTATAGGTCAGGTCGGGTTTTTGCTCTTCTGGCACCGATTACCTCTCTTCCTCCCGCAATTTTATAGCTTCCTCTGGCGTAGTCCAATCCAATGCTCCTCATAGGGGAACATTGGGATCCTGATGCACATGCACAGCGAACATCATACGCGTATCCAAGCTTTCCCATTTCCTATGGGGGCTTCCGTATCACGTGACCGATCAGCGCACTGGAGAATCCTCCAGTGGCTGTTTAACCCTTTCAGGTAAACATTGCTATTTCTGCAAAATGGCAGTGTTTTACCTTGTAGGGTTAAATTGACAGAACCACTGCACCCAGGCCACTTCATTGAGATTAAGTGGCCTGGGTGACTCTATTGGTCCTTTCATTTATTAATCCAAAAGGTTTCCCTTTGATCTAGTTTAATATTATTATTATTATTATTATTATTATTGTTGTTTCCTTCTCTTTATTGTGCTTGAGCTTGTTAAATACCTAATAATGTGAGCTATATAAACACGTATATATTTTTAGTTATGTAGTGTAAATTAACTACATGTTTCTAATTTATTTAATTTATGCTCAAATTACCTTGTTTTTATAATCTCCAACAAATAGGTTCCAATGCATTGTTTGCCCAAGGGCTAACAAGGTCACATCCTGTAAATTATTGGGAGAGTCTTTCAACCTCAGGAAATGGATATTGTCCAACTCCCAAAGAGGGTGTCATTCCCCAATAACCTAAGATATCTAGGGGTACCAAGCCTATTAAATAGATATTAGATATATATAACCATCAGTGAGGGCTAGTATATAAATCAGGGGTGGTTAACAGGTCATGGGCTTTGGGTGGGGTGTGTTAACTAAATAAAGAGATGTAAACATGACACTGTTCACCCCCACAAATGAGAGTGCAATGTCCTGCATTAACCCCAGGTGTCCTATTGTCCACACGCCCCTAGCCATCCCCTCCGTTATGAAATTTCTATCTGCCTCCTCACCCTAATAACAATGAGGGTAGGCACAATAAATCTAATACCTGGAAATACTTACCTCATTTAGGAGAATGGACAATGGCGTGTCCACTCAATACATCATGTATAAATACCCTGGTAAAAGCCATGTGTAGGGGGTGATAAATGGCATGTCCATTTTTTAACCCCTTAAGGACATATGACATGTCTGACATGTCATGATTCCATTTTATTCCAGAAGTTTGGTCCTTAAGGGGTTAATTTTTTTATTTGAACACTATGCCCAAAGGCATCTAGTGCTGCAAGTGGGTAAATTGTTGTATAGTTAATGTAGTCAGTCCCTGTTGGCTTTTTGCTGTAAACACTGTATTTTCAGAGAAAAGGCAGTGTTTACATTACAGCCTAGGAACACTTCTAGTGGCCACTCCTCAGACTGCCACTAGAGGTGCTTCCTTGGTCAGGACGTTCAGCTTCTCTACGCTCTATATTGAGAAACTGAAATTTCGGCACGGAGATGCATTGATTCAATACATTTCTATGAGGTCAGCCAAGGAGGATCAGGGTTGGAACCAGCGCCATCAGATCTGCGCGGCACTGGCATAAAGTGGCATTTTTCAATGTTTAAGTTAGTCAAGGGGGGGGCCAGGGGACCTAAATAGTTATTTTAACACAATAGGATCAGGTATACATGTTTGTGTTCCTGACCCTATAGTGTTCCTTTAGTAAACTGCAGTATATAAAATTGACACTAAAATATATACTCCTCATTCCCCTTTAAGTATGTATTCATAAATATAATGCCAAGACCCAATTGCAGGGCAATTTCTAAAAACATTAAAAATAAATAAAAAATAACTAATATGGAAAAGATATCTGAATGAAAAAAAAGAAAAAAAAGGAAAAAACAAAAGTTGAAAGAAAAACAAAAATGAACAAAAAAAATTTAAATATGAGAATAACAAAAAAAATTAAAAGGTTAATGAAAAAATATAAAAATACAACAAAATAAAAAAAAAATATATATATATACTGATATGGAAAAGATGGCTGAATGAAAAAAGAAAAAAGAAAGAAAACATAAAAAAGAGCAAGAATAAAGATATGAGAACAAAACTTTTGAAAATATACAATAAAATACATTTTAAAAAATCTTTGAATAAAACTGAAAATATAAATAAAAAAAGAAATAAAAAAATATAAAACAAATGTGAGAATAACAAAAATAGAAACTGAAAATGATTTATTCAATATCTAAAAGAGCAATAATTTATTTAAGAATATATTAATGAATACATCTCTGAGGAATAATTGTTGATTTAAAAAAAAAAAAAAAAGCCTGAAGTCAATGTCTATATTTAATTGCATGACTGAAGGGTTTTTTTTGTTTTGTTTTTAAAGGAACACTAAAACATTTGGATACAAACCTGTATTCCTAAATTGTTAGTGTTCCTGACCCTGGTTCTATAGGTCAGGTCGGGATTTTGCTCCTCTGGCACCGATTACCTCTCTTCCTCCCGCAATTTCATAGCCTCCTCTGGCGTAGTCCAATCCAATGCTCCTCATAGGGGAACACTGGGATCCTGTTGCACATGCACAGCGAACATCATACGCGTATCCAAGCTTCCCCATTTCCTATGGGGGCTTCCGTATCACGTGACCGATCAGCGCAGTGGAGACTCCTCCAGTGGCTGTTTAACCCTTTCAGGTAAACATTGCTATTTCTGCAAAATGGCAGTGTTTTACCTTGTAGGGTTAAATTGACAGAACCACTGCACCCAGGCCACTTCATTGAGATTAAGTGGCCTGGGTGACTCTATTGGTCCTTTCATTTATTAATCCAAAAGGTTTCCCTTTGATCTAGTTTATTATTATTATTATTATTATTATTATTATTATTATTTCCTCCTTTCTATTGTGCTTGAACTCGTTAAATACCTAATAATGTGAGATATATAAACACATATATATTTTTATTTATTTACTTTATTTGCAAAAGGTTACAGTGTAAATTAACTACATGTTACTAATTTATTTAATTTATGCTCAAATTACCATGTTTTTTAATCTCCAACATGTAGGTTCCAATGCATTGTTTGCCCAAGGGCTAACAAGGTCACATCCTGTAAATTATTGGGAGAGTCTTTCAACCTCAGGAAATGGATATTGTCCAACTCCCAAAGAGGGTGCCATCCCCCAATAACCCAAGATATCTAGGGGTACCAAGCCTATTAAATAGATATTAGATATATATAACCATCAGTGAGGGCTAGTAAATAAATCAGGGGTGGTTAACAGGCTTTGGGTGGGGTGTGTTAACTAAATAACGAGATGTAAACATGACATTGTTCACCCCCACAAATGAGAGTGCAGTGCCCTGCATTAACCCCAGGTGTCCTATTGTCCACATGCCCCTAGCCATCCCCTCCATTGTGAAATTTCTATCTGCCTCCTCACCCTAATAACAGTGAGGGTAGGCACAATAAATCGAATACCTGTAAATACTTACCTCATTTAGGAGAATGGACAATGGTGTGTCCACTCCATACTTCATGTATAAATACCCTGGTAAAAGCCATGTGTAGGGGGTGATAAATGCAATGTCGATTTTTTTTATTTTATTTATTTTTTTTTATTTTTTTTTAATGTATTTATTTATGTTTTAACACTATGCTGCCTAGCCGGGAAATAGTTCACAGATTTAAAATATGAGCCTGGATTTTAAAGGAGCACTATAGGGTTGGGAATGCAAATGTGTATTCCTAACCCTATAATGTTAAAATCACCATTTAGGTTACCAGCCCACACTTGCCCCCTTAAATAAGGGGATTTTTTTTTTTTTATTTAAAAATAAATAAATACATTTACCTTTACTCCAGCACTACAAAGGGTCTGCTGGCATTGGCTCCGTCCCCAATATGCCTCCCTGGCTGAGATCATCAGAATTGACAATCTCAGCCAATCCAATGCTTTCCTACAGGCGGGGGTGGGGTGAAGCCAAACGCCGTGCTGGCATATCAGCATCTCCTCATAGGGATGCATTGAACCAAGGTATCTACATGAGGAAAGTTGTGCAGCACTAATTCAGGAAACACCTGTAGTGGCTGTCTGAGTGACTGTCACTGGAGGTGTTCCTATGTAACTGGAGGTGTTCTGAAAAGGCAGTTTTTACAGCAAAAAGCCTGAAGGTATGGACTATACTTACCAGAACAGCTACCTTAAGCTGTAGTTCTTCTGGTGAATAAAGTGTCTTTGTACGTGTCCGTTGCCCACATTTTATGCATTTTAGCTTTCTGGCTGAAATCCAGACAAACTTCGGACTTCTTATGAAGATAGTCTTTATTTTGCAATCAGAATATACACAGAATATACACAGTCGTATGGTTTTGTAAGGGGCCAATGAGACTTTAATGAATAACCCTGTCAGCAGTCAAATTCAGCCAAAAACAGACAAGTTATGACTATGACATCTAATGACTATAATTACTTTTGCCTACATTTTGCCATCAGATTTTAATTTGCTACGATTTAGATTTTAGCGAATAAACTGTTCATGAAGATTTTTTCCTTTTTCTATAAAAGGTTTTTTTTCTTCATTATAAATAAATAAATAAAAACATTTTAAAATATTTTCTTCTCTCATGTTCTTTTATTGCAACACAACTAAATGGCTGATTTACTAAATATTTAAAGGAAGACCTCAAAACATCAGCATTCTGTAGTAGCTTTGGTGCCAGGAGTGCCGTGGCTTCAACCCAATCTAAGAACGGTTTTAGAACGGGTTGACTTCCCATCTGGGGTCCGCTGGTCACTGTCTCTCGCCAATAGTACAGCTGGCAGAGAGGCTGGAAGTTCTCTGTCTGTTCTAATCCTGGTAGTGCAGAGCTTAGCTGATTGGCTGACAGTGATCAGCTTACTCTCTCAGCCAATGAGCTAGCCATGTAGTAGAAGTTCTTATGTAGGAGCTTCTGGCTCTCTGTTGAATGTAGTGATTGAATGTAGCATGCAGTAGTGGTTATGGTGGGTGTTTGGAGTGTTAGTTTAAAAATATTACAAATGGTGTTAAGAACCTTATAGTTGTAAAACACATTGACTGCTGGCACGATCTAATGGATGTAGGGATGGAGATGCATCAAAGTGGAGTTCATGCAAACAGATTTTTTGGAAGGGGTTTTCAACACAGCTATCAAATAGGGGGCAGCTATACAAACCATGTTCAGTTACACAGGACCCTTGCTAATCACAGATTATTTATTATTATAGCTTGGCTATATGAGAACAGTATAAGACTGGGAATATTGAATGGAATTGTCTAATGTAAAGATGCTGAGAGGTGACAGAGTTAATTAAAGGGTTACTGAAAACATCATAACCACTTTATCCCAATGTAGTCATTATGATATATGGAATTCCCTGGTCCACATACAGACTCCAGGCTCCATGGTGCTTTAAGTCAGTCACGGGTAGTCATAAATGGACGGTCCTTCATTTAAAGGTTGAATGTGGAGGGCAAAAAGTTTACGGTTTTTAAAGTAATGTGCAGAATATGAGGCACAGGATAGGAGCAGCACAGGAAGCAAATAGCAACACAGACTTGTTGGTACAGATACAAAGAGGCAAATAAAAAGTATAAAAATGCCAAAGTCTAGTTCCTCCCTCAATTCCCATTTCCTTTTTTCAGTAGTAACACTTCTCTTCTCACAAATAACTTAACTGATCAATATCCCACCTGATGACCAGCTATACCTTACTGGACATCCAATTGACTAACAGGAATAGAACACACACACACACACACACACACACACACACACACACACGTCTTATATTTGTGTATTATCCAAGACATAGCTCGGATGCCCAGTCCTTTATCTACAACCCATTTATGTAAGTTACTTGGACCGGGCATCCTGCAAGCTTTGTACATCAGTAAAGGAAAATACTAAATAAATAAGGGTGACTAAATATATAAGGCCAACTCATGAAACTACTATCAGATGTGGGCAGCAACACACAAAACAGAGCGATTTGTATATGAAAATCAAAATATCACTGTGTGTGCGCTCCAAATATTCTCAAACTCAGCTAGAGTTAAATAATAAAAAGCGTTATACAAATAAACACAGTAAAGGTAACTGTACACGGTCTCCAGTATAAAACTAACAAAACATTATAATGCATCAATGCATGGAAACATCTACTTACAAAAAAAAAAAAAAAAACAGTATCAAATCCAATGAATCAGCAAATAGCAACTCAAACTAAGGTGTTATCAGAAAAATGAATGCACAGGAGGAATCAATTTTGAATGTAGATGGCATTCAAGTGGTGAATGTAAATATCTCTTCAGGTTTGAGACTCCCTATCACATACTATCTGCAGGCAGATAAAGGTAATTGCATCCAGATCTATGATCTGGTGTTGAAAGATTTGAAAATCCTCTGTACTACTATAAAACAGAATTAGGGATTAGTATGTAGCAGCTTGGACAAAAAGGAATTAAATGCCGTAAAAGGTTTTAAGAATAATATAGATATCATCATTAAGGGGGCTAGTATGAGAGGTGGTATTGCCATACTTGATAGGCTCGAATATCTGAAAGTAGCCAATAAAATCTTGGGAGATAGGGAATATTACCAGGTGCTGAGGTTTGACCCTACTACTAAGTTTGTGAAAAAAGAGCTATGTGAATTGGTAGACTATGTTTATTTTAGAAATACAGTAAGAAAATGACTTTTTTTGTCAGCTCCTGGCGATATCCCTATATTCTATTATCTAGCCAAGATCCACAAGTCACTTCAAAACCCTCCTGGGCGTCCTATAATTTCCTCACTTTTGTCCCTTATGGCTCCAATGTTAAGAGGTTGTATTCCCATTTACAGCAATATGTCATTCACTTACCTTATTTTATTAGGGATACCGGACATGTGTTATCTTTGATTAATGAGATTGAATGGTTAGAGAATTATAGTTTGGTGTCAATTGATGTGGCTGTCCTATATTCTTATATTGACTCTCAGTTGGGCTTACAGGCTCTTGAACACTACCTCTCCTCTGATCCTCTATTGCCAGAAGAACAAGCTGATTCCATGTCCCCTGCATGGAGCCGCTGAACTTTCCTCATATAGATGCGCTGATTCATTGCATCTCTATGAGGAGATGCTGATTGGCCAGCACGGCGTTTAGATCCACCCCATGTCCCCTCTCATGTTGTTCATTCTAGATTTCTTGAGGGTACTTTACCGCTTTTGGTCTCGTCATGAGAAGTAAATAAGAGAAAGGCTTCCAAATACTAAATTAGCGCAATCTTTTCTACAGTATTCAGTCCAGCTTTTCACAAGATTATTACTGTATTTTATAAACATTGGCCGATCTTTACGTTGGACCCATGTCTGTAATTTTGTATTTCAGATAACCCTAGGGTTACATTTAGGAAGAATCAAAATCTGAATGCATTAGTTCCTTCCAAACTTAAGTCATTAAATCATCCTTCTAATATTGAAGAACTGACGGTAGGACATTTTTGCTGTGGTCATGTTAGGTGCACTACCTGTGGATACATGTGCCATAGATCAGCCTATTTTGGATCGAACATAGATAGGGAGAACATCGTCTGGCCATCTTACACAAAGTAAGAAGGTCTTTGGTGGTACGGCATGTTGAATCTGCCCAAATCACTACTAAGTTCTTGAAAGAGCTTGTTCCTGCATTGCTCTCTGGAGGAGTCTACTGTGGTTATGGTGTCAGCTGGAGTGCTTGGAGCCCTCAGGAGGTGCTAGGAGCATCCATCAACGGAGGTACCCAGTCGGGGTGCCAGGTGATCCGTTACATTGGTGGCAAGCGGTGGGATGGCTTCCTAGCCTTGGGAAAACCATCACTATTACAGAGATGGAAGGCCGTGCAGCATCTCACTTTGACGCCAGGCTCCAGCAGCGACTACAGGATGTGATGTGCAGTATGGAGTATCCTATCCCAGAGGAAAGAGAGACAGAGTGGAGGGTGGCGCTTCGTACCGATCTCTGGAAGGAGGACATTGGCGAAATTCGACCCTTCCGGTGCGAGGAAATCCTGACCACTAACCAGCGCCAAGCAGAACAACTAGAGCTGCGGATGCAGTTATTGGGAAACCAGCCCTCAGAGGAATGGGTAAGCGAACTGGAGACGCTTGTTGAGACTGAGGTGTGGCTGGATGATTCCTATCGGGCCCTGCGATGGCATGCTTACCACCTCTACCCATGGCTGATTGAGTACAAGTGTATTGAGGGGGAAGACTACGATGGCCCTGGTTTGTTGTGGGATACTATTGAAACTAGTCTCTGGTTCGGAGACACCGACATTGCTCGCTTCTGGTCCATCCGAGCTGAGCGGGCAGACGACTGGGACCTTACGTAGATCGATGCCATTCAGCCAGATCTATCTTTTCTTGCCAACCGGGAGTGGGAACTAGAACAGGATTATGTTTGCCTATTCCAACGTGTAACGCCGCATGTCTCTGACATGATGGGGCTTATTGACTGTATACCACCGGAAGCATTGAGTTTAGTTCCTCCTCCCCAGCAACCAAGCCTGTTATCAGGGGACCTTGGTACTGTACCACATACGTCCCAACCAGCCCCAGAGATGGAAGACCTGATTGACTTGTCCTGGGAAGACACCCAGCTGGAAAGTGGAGATGGGATCGAGGTCTCTCTACCGGCCCTACAGGTATGTTGGGCAGTTGGCCCAGATCCCCAGCGGCAGTATGTATCCCAGGGAGCTAAAGGTGCCGTCCTTCCTCCCCAGCGGCAGTGTGTGTCCTTAGGAGAGGAGACAGTTGGTCCCTCTACCCAGCAGTCCAGTGAGTTACAGGGAGACGAAGGTGCCGTCCTTCCCCCCCAGCGGCAGTATGTTTCCCAGGGAGCTGAAGGTGCCATCCTTCCTCCCCAGCGGCAGTGTGTGTTACAGGGAGCTGAAGGTGTCGTCCTTCCTCCACAGCGGCAGTGTGTGTCCTTAGGAGAGGAGACAGTTGGTCCCTCTCCCCAGCAGTCAAGCGAGTCCCAGGGATCCGAAGGTGCCATCCTTCCTCCCCAGCAGCAGTGTGTCTGGCAGGGAGACGAAGGTGCCGTCCTTCCTCCCCAGCAGCAGTGTGAGTTCTTGGGAGAGGATACAGTCGGTCCCTCTACCCAGCAGTCCAGTGAGTTACAGGGAGACGAAGGTGCCGTCCTTCCCCCCCAGCGGCAGTATGTTTCCCAGGGAGCTGAAGGTGCCATCCTTCCTCCCCAGCGGCAGTGTGTGTTACAGGGAGCTGAAGGTGTCGTCCTTCCTCCACAGCGGCAGTGTGTGTCCTTAGGAGAGGAGACAGTTGGTCCCTCTCCCCAGCAGTCAAGCGAGTCCCAGGGATCCGAAGGTGCCATCCTTCCTCCCCAGCAGCAGTGTGTCCGGCAGGGAGCAGAGACAGTTGGTCTCGCTCCCCAGCAGCGGGACAATATATTGAAAGGGGAGACAGTCGGTCCCCCTCTCCAGCAGCAGAGAGAGTGTAAGGGAGAGGAGCTTGTTATCCCCTCTCCCCAGTGGCTG